GATTAGAAGCTCATGATACTCGGCAATGCTTAAAACAATCACAACATTGCGGGGTATGATGAGCCAAGTAATTCGATATTACGGAATCCGATTAACTTATTCTATTTACTTTAAAAATTTATGCTTTTGCATTCTTCAGACTATACGCGTAGAAGGGATGAAATTATTAATGTCGTGATGGAAATCCTACACTCCCAGAAAGCGTTTCGGTTTGATTTCTGAGCGGGCAAGCCAAGGCCGGTAGGTGATCCCAATAAAATTCTTGACTTCACGCACCCACGCGCGCACTCACGCGCAGACATTCTCAACCAGCCAGCCTTCAGGCGCGTACAAAACCAAAGCGAAAGCTTTTGTCTATTCTAGTACTATGGCAATAATTGCATCTGATGTCAATTCTTGTCTTCTGATCATGTACATGAGAGGTATAGAGAGGCCAGGCCACGTACAAACGCAGAAACTACTGTGAGTAACAATTGGCTTCACAAAACTTAGGTCATGAGGTCGTCAAAGCCTGAACTTCAACTGCTTATAGACCAAAGTTGAGGAGGCTTGCAGTGCAACCTATACCACCGACAGGACAAAATTGCCAACCGTTTTACAAAATCAAGCATGACAGAGTTAGTTCCTGTGATTTTTAATTCACTCCAGTTGGAGGATAATGTTAGAATTAAAGAAAGTCTAAGTCAAGGCAGAAAGCTTAGGTGTATTTAGGTGTATTTTGCCCCAGCATAAAGTGGAATTTTGGAAAAGTTAATGAAGATTTGGTCATTGTTTATAGTGGAAATTTTTGAAGAGGGCAATAAATTAACTAGCCCAAATCCCTAGTCTCTTCGTCCCACCTGTTTGCATTGGGTCGAGTAACGAATTTGGTGGCTAATTTTATCACACAGACTTACAAAATGAAACGATTTTGAGGCGGTTAGTGATAAAGATGTTAGGACAGTTGTCCCAATGCGCCGACTTCAAACCGAGTTGGTTGAGTTGATTAAGGGTAGAAACAAATAAATTTGGAAGGTGCATACGGTGCTTAAATCCCGAAATATTTTTAGTTTGATTAGGTTTTAAGCAAGCTAAAATGCTCAGAGAATAGACGCTTATGAATATTGACCGAAAATCATCACCGGTAATGTCAAAACCGAGGAACATACCATTGATTAGTGATGCAACTGTCCATCTGTCCGCATTTAAACTAATCACATCATTCAAATGTCCCACTGCGATCGACCGAGCTTCCCACCAACAAAGAATTAGCAAGGGCGTATGAAAATGGAAATGGTCGAAGCATAAAATACGATAACATCAAATGTAGTGTCAAGATAGGGTTACAAGAGCGTCAAAATATCTCTGTAAAGCTATCAAAACAGGTTGCCTATTTTTATGTCGTCTTTTGAAGTCAAAGTGGTCATACATCTCGTTCATGTTCCGCAATTGAATACCCAACTTCAAAGCCAGCATTCCAAGGTAGACATCTTCAGGTGCGTAATTATACCTAGTGTAGGCTGAACCAATGGCCAAATCGTCGATTATTTCAGCCCCAAATAATTGTGCAAATCCGCGAGGGTACGGGGCCATAATGTTCCAGGGAAATTCGCGATATGAAAGGTACCTCTTTCCATCGGCCTTTCTATAAGCTGCATCTCTTCTGCCAATGAGCCCGAAAATTGATCTCCTTTTTACTTCCGGTGGCAAGGTCTTCAGTATTGTCTCCAGGTAAGTAAAATTCACCTTATGGTCGTCATCCATAACCAAGAATACATCTCCATTCCGTTGGCCACAAAAGGCAGACAGCCAACGCAAATTCGTGACGGTTTTCCAGGTGAGATTAAAATAGGTATCTTCGTAGTCTGCTAAGAGGATATCGTCATAGTGTGCCATTTCGTGAAGCACGTATTCCATGGTTTGCGTCGTTTTGCCATCAAAATACTCGGCTAGTTCTCCAATCCGACCTTTGAGAGTGATTGCGTGACCCTCACGAGAAAAGACCTTTCCACCGTGTTGTCTTGGCAAACCCATGCTGAAAATTAAACCAATCTTCAAGTTGGGGTGCTGTGCTTTCTGCTCATTTACGAATTCCCGAAAAGACGCTCGCATGTCCCAAGCAATAACTGCGCTTTTTACAACAATTATTAGGTCGTGTTGAGAGTTCGGTGTACAGACTGATTTACTGGTTATCAAAATTTTCAGCGGAAAATTATAATCAGGCAACTAAAAAAAGCAAAAGACAGTGGAATTTAAAATTACCTTTGAGATTATTGGTTCTAACTTAACTTTTTATTTACAAAACTACTAAAGGTTTACATTGAGTTCGGTGAGCATCTGAATTAAAGAATCAGTTCGGACTGCTGATGTTTAATGTCTACTACTTCTTCACACGCGTCTGTTCAAACTCATCATCCATTTTGCATGATCTTATAGTCATTTAAAGTTAAATTGCATTCACAATCTTAGTTCAGGAGTTATTCGATTCCTGATTTCTAAATTTTATTAACGCAGATTTTCCAATTCTACTGCATGTAGTGGTAGCTCAATAGCCTTAAGGCAACATAAGGTCCTCCTTACGGAATTCATGTAGTAATGACCATTTTGTTATATTTTATGTACAAAAGTGATTAATGAAGAAATGGAAAGACATTTAGACAAAAACTGTGCTGTATGCCCTTCAGTTGCGCTTGTTTAAAGATGTTTTAAAATTAACTCACCACTGAAACAGGTCTACCGGCTTTGATATCTGCAACGAGTTCTCGTAGAGGAACATCTTGAGGATAAGTTTGATAAATATCGGGATATTTCACTCGCCTCCAGTATCGCCGGGGCAATTTGCTCAGCTCTTCAAAAGTCATCTTGTTGTGATGTCGTGATAGTCTGAATAGATTCTCCAACGGATACTTCTTTGGAGTCTTTTTTGGGGAATGACGAGGGTCTAGGGTAACGCAAAGGGCTATGTTATAGACACTTCCCTGTGCGACCTCTTGAGATCGCCATGGAGGCCATTTGCACCTTTGGTCGGTTACGTTTACTCTTCGATCTTCAGACACTTTCACTCGAGTCAAAACAGGTTTATTTAAATTCGCCTTGTAGCCTATCAATGCAACAGTCACCAAGATCACCAAACTGCTAAGGCATAGTAGCTTGCGCAACCTCATTTAAAATACTAGTGACGATGAATGATACCAATCTGTGTGAGTATAGTCGTATGTTTGGCACGTGGTGCAGGCAGATATGCGGGCGTGGGTGACGTGTTTCTTCGAAAATGCCTGATATCTAGGCAGCCGTAGGAATTTAGCCGTCAATGAATTTGTCTGTGAAATTACTAAGCCAATGCCTTGATCTCTAAACCTACCCAGATAATACTTCTAACGTTACAGAATTTATCTTTCATGCGACATTATTTTCCCCATTGTAAGTCTAATTTCACTTGGACTGCATTTTATCGGTGTTTGGTTGGTGCAAGATACAAATTCAGGAAAGGGAATCTCGCAAACCCCCATTAACACCGTTTATTAAAAAAAAATGGGCTATTCAACTACTTCGCTTATTGAAACGTAGGGATGTACTTCTAGTCAACTTGACGCAAAATTCTAAATTCTAAATAATGCATTTTATTTGCTCAATGACTTAGGTTTCCCCTCTTGAGGTCACTAAAATGGAGCAAAAATAAATCTGGCAAAAGCGACTTAAAAACAGGTAAAATCCAACTATAATTTTTAGTCGAATTAATTTATTATAGAATTGCCGAACGTGTTTTTATGTAATCATGTGAAAACTATACACCAGAAAGCGATTAGTGCAGAAATCGTGATCAGTCTTGCACTTATAAATTGACTCGACCGTGCATTTTTCTGCCAATAATTAGAACCAATGGAACTTGGAAATGCTTTTTTTTCAAAGTAGGAGCAGCTAAAAAAGAAAGACGTTTGTTTTGACAGAAGGGTAAATAATGTGACTGCATAGTTTGTGCGGAGTGTTTCTCCGTCGGACTGACGGTTCTCCGACTAGGGCCACAACCTTCCAAAACTAGTTCACCTGATAGCTGTGACTTATTCTGGTTCTAAAAAAATAGAAATTTTCGGCATTGGGACACCAGCAGACAAATTAACTAAAGAGAACTAATAGGACCACTTATGCGTCTCCAGTAGCTGGACAGTGCGGGTGGATGGCTGAAAAGTAGTAAAAGAAGGAAAGGTAATATAAGATACGTTCTTATTTGAGTAACTCTAGTTTTCGCGATCTGCAGGTGAAAAGCACTTGTTGGAGAGCATCACCCATTCTTAACCAATGAAAAGTCAGTAAAGCTGCTCCTAATTGAAGCTGACAAAGAGAGCAAAACCGCGCAAAATGTGGTTTTCTAGATGGATCACCAACTTTGCCTAAACAAAGTGTTAGATTTATCGAGCGATCATCTTCCGTTGTAATTTAAAATTGAGCTAAATGAGATCTGCAATCCCTGCCATTTCACTATGCTTACAATGCTTTTCATGTGATGGTCAGCCTAAATACAGAAATTTTTACCCTTCTATGTGTAAATAACTGAAGAAAATGATTAAATTTCATGGTTAATAATAAAAGTATGTAATGTAAATCTACGGTAGAATGCGTACAACATGAAACATTCCAAAGTCACTCCAATTCAAAGTGGCTAGTATTGTCACAAAATAGAATAAAACTAATTTAATGCAATAACCTCTGCACAATTACATTAGCACTTTGAAATTTTTGGATGGCAAGTAAAAACTAACACAAGTACTTTAGCTGGTGCACTGATAGAAGTCGGCCGATGCTGATCGCTCCTTCTTTTAGTGGAGATTTATTACAACGAAATTGAAAACACTTGTGCTAACTATTTATTTCTACTTTATCCACTCTCAGGGTTGTGACAAAATGGCGCCTTGAAAATTCCTTGAAAACGATGATATTTCCAGGACCTTCCCCACGGTAGCAACACAAATCGGACCATGCTGTCCAGGTCCTATAAAAGTCCGAAAAGTCAATAGATACCTCCTCTATGGATGCTCCACTAAGATTTTGTCTGTTTTTGCACTGAAGTATTAGAAGAGTGCTATGCGCTGTGGTTTATCAGATGCTCATTTAATTACCATATCACTTTGAAACATTTCTTCCCCATGTTATGCACCGCCTCATACGTCATTGAAATTAGTAGTTTTGCTAGGCAAGTGGAGGAAGCATTGAGCAACTTCGAAATGCTCAGCTGAGTGTAATGCAAGACTTTGACATGAGAATCACCATCAGCATAATTTACATGACAACCACAGTAATAAGAAGTTTTTCATGTTGTAAAAAAGAGATTTTTGTTGACTACTGCAGAGTATGCAAAGGAGATTAGAAAAAGACACGCTTACCATCTTTGACTTATCTGTTTCCCCTGGTGGTGCAACAAGAATTTCTACTCTCTAACAATGTGCTAAGTTTTTTGGAAAATTACAAATGGTGGCTGTTTTACAAGACATCCATTACAAATGGCATTAAGGCTACCTTTTCCAATTAAAGCGCAAATTTCATTTCTAACCATTACTTTGTGATCGCTTTAGGTGTCGCAAATATTGAAACCTATTTATAAGCTTAGAACTCTCGAACAGACTTTGATCCAACCACTCAGTAAGTTCTCATGCGCCGACTCATTCCACTTTATGCATAAACAAATGAAATAGTCTTTGGAATTACTGAAACATTCATTATTAAGGCCTCGTCAAAAGCAACACCATAGTAAGGGAGGAATCACAAGGCGGAAACAAATGTGCAGTCAAAGTAAGCAAGTAAAGGTCAATCAAGTGAAGCTTACAAAACGTAAGGGCATTCAGCCTGCCCACATTTAACGCCTCCTTAAAATTCTTTCTTTTCTACAATATCTGCAAGATGGACTAATTTAAACATCTCTTCTAATATTGTCAAAGTAAATAATGGGTATTTATTAGTAAAGAAGCACCTTATGCATTCTCTTTCACACACTATCTTGACAAGCAGTGGCAAAGCTAGCTAGACGATGATGCACAGCAGTGCATTTGGCACCTTAATCAGTTTAGCGTTGATCGCCTTCCCAAGAGTAAAACCATTAGACAAAATGCTTCAAACAGGTTAGCGTTACTAGCCTTCCATCTAGCCTGAGAAGTCAAATCAGAAGCGTTGTTTTAATCAGTGAGTCTGCTGACCACACCACTATTGTCGCTCTCAATTCACGCAATAAAAACTGACTGACCAAAGAAATTTATTTTGTCAAAAGGGCGAAATAACCCAGTTATTTTTACTACGAAACATGGACCTAAAACTAAGAGTAAATGTGGCCCCTCTTAGTGCTGTATTTAAATAGAACTACCATGGTTGATTAAACCTCGCTGCTCACTGGTAGGAAGGAGTCGATGTCTTTCTCACATTTCTACTAATCTCCTGCTACGCGAGTTTAAGATGTTTCCTAATATGGATTTGGGAGTAAGTTAACCCTGTTTTACTTTCTAAATGTACCAATTCAAGTCCCTTCTAAGCACACAATTAGGGCTGGCTTTCTTTCATTCATCATAATCTGCAAATTAGCTCATTATCACTTCATTTTGAAATTATTTTTTTCATAGCTTAATAAATGAGTCCATTTCTAGGCGAAACTATGCAATACTACGATCACAAAGCTTCCTCCGGAACTAGTGCAAACATTATGCGAATACCTTGGTGATGTTGACATAGTAAATATTTGTACAGCAATCCCAAGCTGGGAGTGGGTACTCTTCCTACGAACTCAGTATTCATACCTCAACAAGTGGAAGTGGATTGACAAGCGAGTCTGCACAACTCTGTATTCAGACCCGCAGGCTGTATGCTCTGAAAAGATTTGCGAGGCCGCCAAGCTGCACTTTGAGCAAATGAAAGTTGATCTTCAGTTTCCATCGATTCGAGCTCTTCGGGGTACCTTTGAAAGAGTAAACTGCATCCTATTTACCTCCATCCTGACAATGCAGAGGAGTCTTTCTTATTTTGTGCGTCCACTGCGTGTGCGTAGCAATTTATTTTTAAAAATTGTAAACTCTAGCCGTCCCACCTCGGTTTATGTTGAGGCAGTCCATTTCCTCCCTCCTCATTCAGCCTTTGGGTCTCGTTCCACGCCTAGATCTATCGAAATTATCTACAGCGAATATAAAAAAAGGCTGCAAAGACGAGTTAGAACACTACTAACGTTCGACTGCGTTCTCTATGTTATTGAACTTTCAATGCTTCGCAAGTATGGTCCCATGATTAGAACCGAACTACAGGATTTAGTGACGAACTTGTCTTTGGAACAAACACTGGGGGTGGTAATTATAAATGATGTAGAAAGGAAGGAGGAAAGTGGGATGGATTTCTTTATGGACTGCATACAGAAATTCTGTTTAGTCAGTGACTCTCCTTTCTTGACTACACAAATAAATTGGCGAATGTGGTACATCCAAGACAGAGCCGATTACATTACAAATCGCAAATGCATCTTTAAATGGGTTTGTCAAGATGTAATTTGGAGGAGAATGCAGGGAACTGCGCCTTAATCAGCAGCGACGCCCCGTGAAGGCCTCGATCATCTAGACTGGCTCATACAATTACTTTTTAACTAAAATGGAATAATTACATGCCTTTTGTTTGCCCCTAGCATCGCCTTCACTATCTTAATGTTGCAGATCTTTCTGGGTAGGAGCGAAAAGTTTTTTCTCACACATTTTAAGAGTAAATGAAGTTAACATGATTTGACTAATCCACACTTATTATGGGTTTGTCGGATACTGGATATGTCACACAACGTTATACTAACTGAATTTTAGGCTATTGGGTATGGTTTAGCCATTGTTTTGCGATATTAACTATTTTTAATCTTTAGTTCGTAAAGATGTCATCAAGTACTAGGGAGCATTTAGGTGTTTATGCAAATATTTAAACTGACGCAAATCGACAAACTAATTCAATCAACACATATGTTTTCAGGGAATGAATTCCCTGAATTCCCAAAACTATTATCTGCTTACGCTATCCAGATAATACAATAAACGTGTGATTGTTAGCCCGTTAGTTTGTGGATTACTCCTGATATGTATCACATTTCCCGACAAAATTTCCCTTATAATTTAAAATACAATTAGAAAATATCATCACTTTGGTTTATCATATAAAATTAAATATTATCAATGTAAGTTTAACGCCTGAAAAAAAGTTAATTAAGATGTGTTGTGTAAAGTGTGGAAAGTGACTTCCTCTTAAACAACTCCACTCACTTTGTCAACGTTTTATCAATGCTCACGGCATTTTCGCAGCATCATTCAGTGGCCGAATTCACCCGCAAAAGGTGGACTAATTGGTAACATTGTCTACGCCTTCCGATATCCATGTTCCTGCATGCAGCCATTAAAGTGGCAACTCGAGTGGTCAGGTTGATCATAACTGAGGAGAACTTGTAGTAAATGTCTTCAAACTTAAGTTACTCTCCTCTCATCTGAATAACCCTCGACGAATTATCACTATTAGGCAAAATTAAAACTGTTTTCTTTTATAATCTTCTTTATTTAGTTTCTGACGTGAACTGATTGAGTTAACTGACTATATATAAGTAATAGCTAAACTTGCTCACAAGAGATCCGTACTTTTGGAGATCTACTTCCCTTAAGTGAAAAGTCTCTTCATGTTACTACAGTCTTAGCATCACTGCTAATTAGATAGAGAGCCGCTTCATACCAAAGTAAGTCTAGCTTTGTCTAAATAAACCGAAGAGTACGATAGGATAAAAAATTGGTGGGGTTTTCGTAGAGCTGGTTGTAGTGCCAGAGTTAGTGTAAGAAATTGTGAAATATTCGTAACTATTTGTGAAGTATCCATTACAGAGAACAGGTGGAAATAAGTTTCTCAGCGCAGTCTGACCAAGCCGATGGCCTCCTACCCCTTATGTGAGGTAAACTGAAATATCGGTTTCGAAGTGATATGCTGCGCACCAATGATTCACGACGGTAGACAGGAAGAGTCAATTTTTTCTTTGGTAGGCTCCCCAGGCCCATATGCCTTACATTTCTTTATTGGTATGTCTTTGTTGTGTTTACGTGAAGACTTGCCGTATACCAAGTAAGAATACCTACTCCACGCACCTACTATTCATAACTGACAACAAATAATCGGCTTATTAGGACCGTAGTAGAAAAAGAGTGGTGAATGTATTTGTCTATGCAATATTTGCACCCAGCACTTGCATCCTTTTCATGTGATTTATTTCTAGGTTCTGTAGTTTTGACGAATATTCCACCTATCGGTGAATAACGCGCAGAAGGTGTTCCTTCTGGAGTACTCATTACTTATGTCTCATTAAAGATATTGAAGAGGAGAAGGCTGTCAAACCGACTGAAGCTATTTTATGTGCAGTTAAACACGATAACAAATATCAAGATGGAATCAGTACCCATTTTGGAGAGTTCTCATGGCCCACATGCACATCCACTCAAAACAAGAGGCAATTGGGTAAACCGTATCAAACTTTTCATGTGTTTGCATTGCACCGGATTTGAAACACTAATTTTAGCGAAAAGAAGTTCTTTTGAGGATAGGAAGATTATCTCTTTGCGTTTAAATTGTGATTGAGATGGGGATGTCTGCAATTTTAGAAGTATCTTCTACATTTTTAATCTTCTAGAAGTTCTCATTGATGCCTGGTCTATCTGCATTCTAGATGGGGGAGTGGCAGAAAGCGGGAGGCGTGCTCCCGCCTAAACCTGCCTCTATGGCCTATACCCAATAGAAATTAATCTCCAATTTCACCGTACTATGCTATATAGACCAACCTTTGTAGCTCTAGTTCAATCATTTATAACGAGTTTGTATAGTTGGATTCACCAAAACGCTAGTACTGATGCTGACAGGCACGCACCCTCAACCACATATTTAGTGAAGCCGACTCTGCTCTCTAGTCACTGAACACGTGCTCACTGACCTACCTAACAGTGACTGTGACTACTTCGTGTACTCATTGTGTAGGTAAGTAACGACGTCCCCTCTATTTACTCGTTTTTCCCATCGCTTATCTAATCAGTGGTTATGATGAGGATCTAGGATTCAGAAGACTTGGGCACACAGACACAAAGTTTCGGCATTTGGCAACTTATTTTGTATGAGTTGACGCGCACTATATATAACTGTCTACGGTCGAGTCCATTATGGACACCCTCCGTTCACCAGGTGCTCCTTAAACGTAAATCGCATCATTTGATTCCATGTAGCAGATTAACTGCTTCAATTTCACAAAGCATCGGTATCGTACAATACTAAACATGATATTTTCTGAAAAGGCTTCTAAGTTAAGTCATTATTCTATGTGACCTACTTTCTTTGTTACTTAAATAGGTCTGCTTTCCCATTTCTGTGTAAGGCGATGTGCGATCAGTAATATCTGTGAGAAGAGGCCGCCACTCATCACGGTGCATGAATCAGTGGCCAAGTACATGACTGTGCGCCCTACAAGTGCTAGAGTTTTCGATTTTGTAGAAAAGCAAAAGAAACAGCGGAGTTTGTTCAGAGTATCGCAACCCACCCCCACTGTCTAATGGTTTGTTTCAAAATGGAACTGATGTGATAGAACACCGGAAAGCGGACATTGTAGACGCTTTTTTATTTTGGTGGTGGCTATCTAATTTGTGGTCGGCTATTATGAAATATTTAAGATGCCTTGAAAACTGTTACTTTGACTTATTCTGGTATGGACTAAATACACAGTTGACAAATTCGTTGTCTTCGAGGAGTCAAACGTGATTTTGTTGCAAATTTTAAAGAAGGATTCCATTGAAATGAATCAGATATATGTTCATATTGCTGATCTAATACTATAGCGGAAATTTTGATGATACAAATAGGGAATAACAGACAGCTTTTTGACTCAATGGACTACATAACTGCTTGTAGGCGAATGGCATCTTTGTAGGTATATTCGTTAATTGTAGCATGTTGCATCTAGGAATGCCGACTGCGTCAATGTTTTGTGCTTAGTATGGTGTTCACTTTGTATACCAAGGCTAAGGAAGGGAGGCATGAAGTGAGAGTGGATTTCGCTTACGTAGGTACGGCCTGCATTAGGTGAAGCAGAACAATTACTAAGGCAGATGGGTATAGTATGATTTACCAACTCCTCTGTTTTCTTTGTAATCATTCGTATTGTCTCCAAATTGTTTTATATTGGACTGAATGCACAGTAGATTTAGCTCAAGGAATCTTTTAGCCCATTCAACTTTTTGTAAGTTTGCATTAGTGTCAAAGGAAATTTTGCTGCATTATAGTCAGTGAATAAATGATCGTTGATTTCATTTTTAATGTTTCAAGTAGGTAATCTTGTCCAACAGCAATTTTTAATTGAAAAGGTGAAAATTATAGAGGACGATAAAGCGTGAGTTAAGGCATTAACGAGAAAACATGTTATGACCTAAGCAAGGGAAAATAACAAATTTATCTCATTGCTGAAGAGCTGGTTTAGCAATATTAAGTAGGAGCTAAGAAACTCTGTACTTAGTAATTAAATGCTTCCTCTAACACCCATTAACAAGTAATTGGCAAAAGAGTAATCTAAAATCTCCAGCAGAAGTGTATGGGTGTGATTTCACAGCCCAAGTACGCAAGTATCCAATGTCCAACTTCCTTAGGCATGTTTTTGCTCACTTGCGGAGGCACGAATTGTTTCAGTAAGCAGTGACAGATAATTCTGCCTTATCCTAAGGATTAGAGGGTCCTCCTCAATGTGAGGCGTTTTATCTAAGAGCGATTTTTCAACATAAACTAATCGCATGTACACTGCGAGTGGAGATAATTAACTCTGCTAACGCGTCGTCACTTGATACTGTATGCCAAATTTGGCTGGTAGCTTCTGTGGTTTTTCAGATTAATTTTGTCGATTGCCATGCAAATACCAATTTATGTCCTTTCTTATGCTTTAACGATCATCACAGCATCCACGAATTTAGTGCAGATAAATTGGCAGCTCCATTTGCTTACTCCAAAATTATGCAGCGACTTTAAATAATGCGTATCAAACCTTGACTTAAGTGGCTGAGCTTAAAAAGGCAAGGGATTATGCAATGTTGATTGTGATAACCTATATTGTCAACCTATTTGATCTAGCACGATGCAAAAGTAATAGATGTGTGACCTGGACTTGAGTAGCACTGTGCTATAACATACGGAAATTATTAGCTCTTAAATTAGTAAACAATTGACTAACTATAACGAGTGAAATGTCTTAGGGCCGTTTACCAACCTATTAGATGCTCTAAGCGGTAAAGATGTGTGTTAAAATTATGGGAGAGACTTGATCGGGAATTTACAGTATGTATGCAGATGGATCATCCAAAAGAAAGTGAAAAATGCTAAAATTTTGATAATTTTTGCGAATGAATCGGAACTGTAATTGGCAGTCAGTGAGTTTGACATATTGTTAGTTGGGCTCGCCTAAAACTCAGATAGTGGACGAGGTTATTACAACACTACAACACAACACTATAACATTAACCTAAATCATAAACCACTCAATCAGCATTCGGTATCACCCTGTTTGCAGCTCAGCTAAACTCCTTTGAAATTTGATCAGAAACTGAGTTTCACTACCCTCTGTGGATCCCTTTAATCCAGTAGTAGTCTGACCTACAATCTCTGTTCCATCGTTCATGACGGCCATTTCTGTGCTGGGAGGCCTTGAGTAACCTGATGCCCTCCATGCACCTAGGAGAAGTGCAACAAGTGTTGGTGATGGACAGTAGGAGCAGTGATGACGCAAATGGCCTGCTAGAACTTGGCGAAACTTACCGCCACTCTGATTAATGATTTCTTTTAGCAACAACCCTAGAGAAACACAGAATTACAACAGTGATTGTTCGAAAGAGGACCTCTCCATGCATAAATGAACGGTGTCCATTGCTGTGCGAATAACTGTGATTCCTTTAAACATTTACTGATACTGTTATGCAGGGGAGCAGCGGATTTGTTTACATAGTGGTGTCCATGCCCTAGTCGGCTTCCTTGAAACTCTCCCTTGATAATCCACTTACTTGTTGCTTGTTATTACACAAGCACGCTGACATGAATCAAGTCTCAGGCGCAACAACACTTTCTTACAGGCTTGGAGAGCTTATTTATGCACCGAATCCATATCACTTGCTTCAATCAACCGGATTTGAGCATTTCGGTTAAACACCCTCAACGTTAATACCAAATCAACATCCATTTTAAGGAAAACGTGGTAAGACAGAAGCCACTGCCGAGTGTCCGACATCTCTAAGGTATATTTCTGAGCAATTAAAGGTGCACATTTAATGAGTTACAAGAGGCCAACTTCATACAGGGTCTGGGCAACTTGGTGCTCAACATATTGTTCACGACTCATCTACTCAAGCATTTGTGCAAATTTACCAGCTTGCGATCCTTTTGTCACTTGATACACCCCACACTTGTTGGTTTCAGACACTGTAAATGAGCCCCTCCCATACACATAACCCACCATGTACTTTGGTGACTTCACATTTTTATACTTTGTGAATGGTGCGCATTCACTGAAGCGCTGGCTTGAATTTCGCCTCAACTTTTGTGATAGTGCGGATTCAATGATTAGCAAGTCTTACTCCAAGTGCATCAAGAGTCACTTTATTAATCTAAATCACCCAAATATTGAAGTGTACATTAAAGTTCTCATCGCAGTTGTTGGTCAGTTCGTAAATTGAATCCCGTAAAATTTACTTGTCTATATGTACTATATTTTTGTGAAGTGGGAGTGTGACAGCATTTTCTCCGTTTATTTGTCTCTGGCTGGGCCAGAATTGGCGCCTACATTACATTGGGTTGTGTTGTACTGTATTGTGTATTAACTTTGCAGCAGACCTTTCTGTGAACAGAGTGCTGTTAGCTTGTCATTTAGGATTGATACAATGCAAGACTTCGGCGAAGGTAATACCAGCCAGGTGAAAGATCAGTCTCTCTACTAAGACATAAAACACAATGCAGTTTCTTATGGGACCTCATGAACAAACTGATGTTGTAAACGTTTTTGTTCAATTAAAGTAAGTGGTGCTTTCAAGAAAATGGTGATACGTGCGTCAACTGAAGCAGCTACTTTCATTTGGGAAGATATCATTTTCCATTTCTCTTCACGGGGCAGGTTACGCTATTTCAACCTGAATGCCTGCAGTAGACTGACCTGTATGCAAATAATAACTAGACTGGCTGTTTATTACTTGTTTATCCCTTCCACCCACTACAATGTTCAAATCGTTCAAAAAATGAATGCTTTTCATTAAGAGTTTAGGACATTATAAAGAAACTATAATGAGATCTTCTTCTGACAAATTGTCAAAATGTCTACTGCTGCTTCTCTTAAAACTTTCTTGCGTCTATCGTATTTTAATAGAGATTCCAGTCAATCTAGCAGTATCCGACTTAAAATAATTATCACTATGATACAAAAGTTAAGCATATGCAGATTTCGTTTGAATTCAGTCTTGTATGCATTAAGCAAACTGAAGGCTCCAAGCACTTGTTTACTCGAATCGAAGCAAAGTGCCTTTGCTTTGTCAGTGCGATTTCGCTTGCTAACTTATCACCTTGTACATTCTGCACTTTCTTTCTTTCAACTCCTCCAGTTGCGATCTATTAATACTTATTTATGTTCAAATCCCTAAATATACAATCGCCCACAATTTAAGGCCATTCATTCTCTCCTTCTCACTGTATCGTCGGATATTTCACTTGTTGACTGATTTTGTTAGTGTGATTTCATAAAACTTCACATAAGGAATGGCCTAAGAATCGTTCAAAAGATAAAGACGCCTAATCTTTGTTACAAATTTCCTCATTTCAATATTTGTGCATATGGGATTATAACCATGTGCTTTCCTCTGATCGTATTGCAGAGGAAGTTCTCTCTCACTTACTAGGAAAATAAGCATAAAGATTTCCTTTTCTTTGCGTGAATGTCACCAGAAGATGTCTGCGAACCCCAAACCGTCTCATGCAATGCATGCATGTGCTTAAAATACACCGATAATTACTAGAAATGGGGGCTTTGTTTCAAACCATCAGGCCTTCATCCAGGCAACAGCCTTCAAAAATATGTAAAGCTAACTTGATAAGATAAGAACATCACCTCCCTCTTCTGTTTTGCCATTCTGTTTGTGTTTTGCTTAGCTTCCCTGCAGAAGTTGTCTCTACGTATGGAAAGTTCATTTAATCGAATAAATCATGTAGATATGTGGATATGGGGAGGCAGATCGGCATCACCCATGCGGATGATAACTAGAACAGCCGATGAGAATTCAACTCAAACAAAAAAGGCAAATTTTACATTTGACTCAATTCTGTGATGTTGTTGTTGGTGGTTGTGGCATTGTCACTTGCAGGACTTATGCTGCTTCTGTGAGGCTCCATATTCTGTCATGTAGTACACCACTGTGTTCGCAAGCCTGACCCCAAATAAACTTTGGTCGCTCAAGTTTCTGAAATGCAAAAATGATGCTTTTTATGTCGGCTTTATTTTAAATTTCACCTCTATTATACCATTTTTAGCCTCCTTACCTGATCGTAAGTAGAATCATGACTTATCTCTGGTTCTGTTATGCGTAGAAGGGATGAGAATGAAGGTGGTAGGGGTGAATAACCCTTACCCACTGGAGTGAGTGTTAACACCTTAGTAGGTCCTTTGCATTTCAATCTGCATTCGTCAATTTAGGTTATGAGTCATCAAATTTGCGGAAAAATTTTTACCGAAAAAACAGTTCTGGAAACTAAGATATTGCCCACGTAACTTGTAGAACCTGCTGAAATATAATACAATCGTTTGTACACATTGTGTATCGAACAGTCATGACACAAAATGATCCACAATATTTGATATCGAGGATGAAACACTAGAAAATATAGGAGGGGCAAATCACTACAGCCATGTCTGGTTCAAATTATTTCATCAAGGAAAACTTCTAATGCAGTTGCCATTCATTCGCAAATTTAAACGTTCCTGCAGTATGTGCAGGCAGCTGACGCCTTGCACCAGACATCAGGATGGCAAGCCTTAAGACCGTTTCAAAGACAATGAAATTGTGCATAAAGAATTCAAAATCTAAAAATTGACACTAGTTTTTAACTAATTAAGTGTAAATACCATTGCGGAAAGTAGGCCAAGTGACGGAGACGATCACATGCCTTCTTATTGAAAAACATTCTAAGTTTCACCAAGACCATGCAAGTGAAGGCTAAGCTGGACATTGTTTTTAAAAGTCGTTTGCTCAGTCTAACTTATAAATTTTAGTGCACTAGCAAGATTATCACCAACAAAGATTGCAAGATAGTTTTTCAAAAGTAAAAGCAAAACATTCTTTTACACTTGTGCTATAAATGCAGTTCCTCTTCCCGTTGTGTATAATAATCTTGGCAGTTCCTTAACCGTTGTCAATTTGTGCTCGTGCACGTTCAAAAAGAAAAATACTGCTATAGTTTGATTATCAAACATCTCTATTACTATCCGCATGCATTTGTGATGCAGGCGGGAGAGCAGAGAAGACAATGAATTTAACGACTTCAACTAACTGGCATATTTGCGCTGCTACTGGTGAAATCATGTAGTCATGTAAACAAGCATTGCCTGGCTAGCTCAATGTTACGACAAGAACGGAATATAGAATAGGAGAGCAGAACCTCTGAATTATAAACCATTTGATGCAGTGAATTTCTGCTCTAAGGCAACAATAATTTAAGTAGCACATGGGGAATTGGATGCTTAGAGAAGGGAACAAACGCATCTGGATAATAAATGCAAACTGTAGTTGTTAAGAAGCAACGCATTACATCGAATAGTTTTACTAAAGAGCAATTGATTCTATATTGTACTACATACATTTTTGATTTATGTGGCATAGAACCTCGTTAAGTCCCAGGCTGCATCTGGAAAAAGAAACCCTGATAACACTTTGCCAATCATGATTATGAAGTTAAATGAGCTAAGATATCTGGCGTTATCTACTGTGATCACCTCCTGAATACTTCCACCATGCATCCACTTCTCGTGTGCAAGGGTTGAATTAAGTTACTACTCAAAACCGCTGCTGATTTCCATCAATTACTCCTTTGGCATCACTTTGTAATAGTACAAACACCTCATTAACATGCACAACTGCTGCATATGAAATACTCTTTTACAGTCAGAGGATAGAGAATTAAGCTGAGTAGTTTTTAACGTAATGCTGAATCAAAATCCTATGAATAATAGTTCTACTTCAGATTAGATCGACCACATTATTTTCCTCCTCTGAGACTTGGCGAAAGCTTTCTAATGCATTTAAATCAACTGGACTTACAACTCATTTTATTCTCACGGTTGTGATCAAACCGGATATTTTGTACCTAGCAAAGGTAAACACCGTTTTACTTGTCAGACCATTGTGACCATCGTGTCAAATAAAGTTGACCTGACAATCTCACCTCTTTTATGGCATATTCTGACAAGTTCGCAAAAATAAATAAAAGTAGCCCTAATGCATAATTTTCATAGCATAGACAAACTGCGTTGATTGTGTTCACAATCTGTTACATAGCCATAAACTACCGTTTTCACAGTGCTGCCTAGTAAATTAACATGTACGTCGTTGTGAATACTAAATAATGGTAAACTTCCCCTTAATTATATAATTATATATA